CTGTAATAAATTTTTGCTTTTATAATTCTAGATTTAATTACGAAATACAGTATTGCAATACCAAACAATAATATTTTGTAAAGTAAATTATTTTAGTGTTTAGATCGATTAAGCAAACATTAAAACATTATTGCATTAAAAAAGCATTACTGGATCAATTAAGCAAACATTACTGTATTAGAAGTATTAATGTGCAGACTCAAAAAACTTTATTATCTAAACTATTTATATTAATTAGAAAAATTAAAGGCATACATATAACAAATGCGTATGACGTATCGAATATATAAAAGACTGATTTGCTAAAAAAGAATTGCCTCGATTTATTCGTTATATATATATATAATTCTTTCTATTAATTCATGTATAATTCTTTCTATTAATTCATATATAATTCTTTTCTATTAATTCATATATAATTCTTTTCTATTAATTCATATATAATTCATTCACATATATTCGCTCTTCTTTATGCAAATAGATAATCCAGAATCAAAATGTTTATATCAATTACAACCGTAAATTTAATCTCACTTATATTCTCAATTTTTATCATCGTAACAACTCCTGTAAATGCGGGTGTTAATTTCAATTGTCCAAGCAACGCAAATACTACTTCAGATAATGAATATATTGTAGTTCTCAAAACAAAATCTCCAGAAGAAGCACAGGAACAATTCAAATCTTTTGGACAATGCTTTGGATTATCTCTTCCATTAGCTGATTTACTCTCGGATGAATCTATGGGAGATAAATGTATTAAATCCGCAAGTTTAAATATACCTTCGACATCTGACCTTCCTAATATAAGTGATAACAAGTATTTTAGAGATCTTAGTTTTGTTAGTAATTTTTTTGCATTTAGTGGATATTATAATCCTGATGTTGTCAAGGCGTTATCAGAATGGGATGTTGTTCATCTAGTTAGTGAGTCTGAAGTTGTGAAAGCTTTTGATTCAAAAGATTCACACAGTTCAAACGGTTCAAATGGTTCACACAGTTCACACAGTTCAAACAGTTCAAATGCCTCTAAATCGCAACGAGGAACTACTCAAGAGAACACTGTTTGGGTATGATTTATTTGATTTGATTTAATTTAATTTTTAATCAAAGTAATCTTCAATTTTCATAACAATTTAATGAATCATTAGAATCTTGATAGAATTGATCAAGAATTCCGTCCTTTGGATGGTAAATATACCTATCCAACATGTGCAGGTGATAACGTTGATATTTATATAGTTGATACGTGAGTATTTTTTCATTTTTAGATCATTACCTTTTTTTTCCTTGTATAATATATTTAATTGGAATCAAAATATGTAGTGGTATTGACATTGCACATCCAGAATTTGAAGGTAGAGCAAAATTAGGAAAATCTGTATGTACTGGCTGTCCGCCATGTGCTTTTGATGATCATGGGTAAATAAATATATGAATTCTTATTATTAATTTTCAAGAACTTTAAACTTTTGTAAATATTTATTAAATAATAATTTTTTTTTATAATTTGG